CCCGGCTCCCTGACCTTGGCTATGAAGCTGGCCCCGGCTGCAGCTAGGGACAGCATCTTGGCCAGCCCACCCACTGGCAGTTTCTCAGGTCTCGGGGAGAGAAGAGCCGGCCCGCTTGGCTCTTGGCAGTGCTGGAGGGTGACCTAAAGGAATTGGCAAGTGCTTGTGTAAGGCAAATCTCTCTGTGATCTAGTACAATACTACCCCTTCTTGGCAGTGAAATGTCATGTTGTTGGCGCTTCCTAGGCCAGGCTAAGGCTAACCCAGGCTAAGGAGGCCTTTCCAGAAAAAAACGCTGCATAAAAAATTAATGTTGAACCACTACAGTGGTTCAAAGGACAGTATTAAAAATAATGTGAATAGTAGTGCTGGAAACGCTACCTCAGAGAGTCTATGTAGGTAAACAAAAGTTGCAAAATCTGTAATACTGGATTCTAGAAATACTGGCAAGAGGTACTTGTGAAGTCAGTCCGATCCTTGGAGCTAATCTGCTTTTTTGTGGTTCACCTGAAGTTCACATTTTATGAAATGAGGATTGGATAGCTCAGGGTATTGCTAATGGGATGTAGTGCAGAGCTTTCACCTTTAGGAACATGGCCCATCCAGCCCAGGTCAGCAGTGACAAATGACAGTGCTGCAAAGCTGTTTGGGGGACAGCTGAGGTTAGCTGGGTGGTGGTTTCAGTCCACTGCTGTTTGGCAAAGATTTTTATTAGGTTTAGTAGGCCAAAGAGTAAATTGCAGAAGTAACTAAATCATACTTGCTACTGGATACAGCCCTCCTAGATCAACATTTAGACATGCTAGTGGGCAAACACACAACAGTCTGGAAACCTGACTGGCATTTTTCCTGCAAGCTGAAATTTATTAGAGTGTATCAGATTTAGTTCAAATAGTTGGATAGATTTTAGCATGAAATGTTAGTGCAGTTTGGCTCTGAAAACTTGAATCATTAAAAAGCCAACAGTTTTTGACATCGTCTCTCTATGTGTGTATTCAGGAACAGGTCTTCTTTGCCGGTGTTAGAGAATGTTTTATTGCAGGGAGCAATATAGAAACACGGCAGTAAAAGAGGAAGCTGAATTCTGCTGCCAGCTGGCCATTATTTAAAGAATTACCAATTCAGTGCCAGTGATCAAAATCTTTCAGATTCTGGGCTCAGTTTGCAGGAGAAAATATAATTTTGAAAGCCACTAAATTTTATCTAGAAATCAGAGACAATAATCATCAAGCTTAGGAAGCAGATTTTATAAAGTCCCTTTCCAGAGCAAAACTTTGCTTGTTTGTTGCAGTATGATGCCTCATTTTTAGCCCCACACCCGACCTACTATAACATTATGCCTCAAAAAGTGTAAAACTGTATTGTAGATTTCTTCTTAATTTTCTGACCAAAAAAATGTTATGCAAAGTTATTTTCAGTGTTGGAATGATTTTTTTTTCCAATTATTTTTAGGATTTACTAGGTTTTTAAATTTTGTTTGAATGAATATACTATATTAAAGCCATATTCTCTGTGTCCAGCTGTGTCTGAAGAAACCCTAAAGCTTCTTAGATGATTTATTTATAAAATAAGGACATCATACTTGACTTCATCTAAAGGACAGGTTCTTGGCCAATATTACAGCCAGGAAAGTATAAAGATCGCACTTAGCTGTGAAGATTAGAACTTCGGATTCTTAGCATGGTGTATCTTCCCCTTAGTGTGGCAGAAGAGTCGCCATCTATATATTATGTAGCATATTGCATTATTTCTTGATGCTGGATGTCTACTTAAGCTGAAATACATAAAAACATGAAAAATCTGACACGTTTAAAAATTATAATCAGATTTTTCAACTAGTTATTCATGGCTTCTTTACTTACAGTAATGCCACTTATGTTTGAATTATCTAACCAAATTTAATCAAGATGTCAAAGATCTACCAAAACACCGTTAAAAAAGACGATCACAAAGTGAGATTACAAAATGTAATCTGCTCTTCAAAAGATAGATTTCCAATATGCCTTGGATGTGCTACTTAATTGTTTTCTGTAAATCACTACATTTGGCTTTTCTTTGCCAGGAATTATCAGAATCATAGGCACGGAGGACCAGTTTTTCGGTCCAAGAAGAAATCAATGACCATCAAATGCTTTCTGTTGCTGTTACTTTATATATACAAACCCTTTTCTTCCAGCAGGTGTTATAGCAAACTGAACAAATGGCTATTATTTTCTTGCAGGCAACCCAAGAATGGCATCAGTACCCTGAAGCAGTGGTTTGGCTTTGTAGATCTGAAAGCTTTGGTACCAAATTGAATTCCTGATGCTTAATGCCTCTTTCTTGCTTAAAAACCCTTTGGTAATGTGATTTCTCCCAGGTCACACTGTGAAGACCAGTGGTCTGTCCACTCACTTCTTGCCAACCAGGTGCATGCAGAGACGAATTTCCTGAAAGCCCAGCTAATGGTGCTCCATTTCACATGATACTGTGCATGGCACGTTTGTCATTCTGTTTGTGCTGACTGTAAGCTGTGACTTGTTCAGAGCACTTGCATCAAGTAACCACTAGCAACCAAGCCACTGGTATCCTTTGACATTACACTGTAGTTACTAGATGCTATAGTTACTATACTAAAAAAAGGCACTTGCAAATCCATCAAAAATCACAGCAACTCTATCCCTTATTTTCCTAGGACATAGTTAAAGCAGATCTCCCAATGTGACTGGTATCCCACAGACACGTACGGTATTACTGCTCTTGAGCTAACTAGCACTTCCATTGTCTTGTGGCCATAAATGGCCTTACTTAATACACCACTACCACCATGAAATACTCCATTTTAGAGTATTTGAATGCTACATAAACACATCCTCCTGAGGCCTGGTGCGGACACAGCTCCTGACCCTTTGCAGAAGCCAGACTGTTGCAAAAGCGCCGTTTGCAGCAGTCCTTTCTTTGCGGCAGTGCTTTCCCATCGTGGCAAGTCTCTCTGCAGCACGGCCGTGCAGCATGCTAGATCCTGAGGGCAGTGTGGAGCACAAGCCTTCCTCTTCCTTCCCCAAAGTTTTCCTCATCCCTCTAGCCATGCTCCTTGCAATTGCAGCGCTCCTGCTTTTAGCATTTTCCGCTACGCAGCAGAAAGAGCCTGATTTTTACACTTTCAAAGTTGTAAACATCAGGGGCAAACTAGTCTCTCTGGAGAAATACAGAGGCTCGGTAAGTCTGCACGGAGATGGGCAGCTCTCGCCCAGACTCACTAACCAGCCAGTCCTTGCATGCCTGCAAAACCCAGGTGGGGGTGGAGAGGTTGTACATTAACTTGGTGCACGTATGCAGCTAGATCTGGGTTTACGACTCCCTTAACTGATCTGGAGCGTTGCCTGCATGCTTCCCTTGACACCGCTCCGGAGGTCTTTGCACTCTAAATAAAACGTTTGCAGTCTAACCTCCGTGAGTCTCCGCGTCTTTTCCTTGTGCAGGCTGCTGCCTGTAGACGT